TTTTTTTTTTTAGCATTTTGTAACTATGAGTAGACTAGTAGGGGGATACTATTCTTTTCATGAGGCTGGCTTTACCCTAACCCTAAATTTAGAAAGAGAAGAAAACACAACCAATACTTCACAGAAATGAAGATGGCAGCTAGTTGTGTAGCTCAGTTGACTTTGTCCCTAGTACTGAGTAAAACCTTCATAGGAACTAACAAACACCTGAAATCCCATTGCTTAAAAAGTACAGGAAGGAGGATCAAGAACAGTTCAAAGTTATCCTCAGCTGCACAGCAAGTTCAAGACCATCCTAAGATATATGAAATTCTGTCTCAATAATAAAAAAAACTAGAAAATAAATGTAAATGTTAAAAATTTTAAAATGGGATGCTAGTTGTCCTGACTGCCCTGGTAAAATAGAAAATGATTTACAGAAAGAATAATACATTTTAAAAAGTGAAGTTTGTCCGTGGAATAAATGTTAGCTTAATTCTCAGAAAACTGATAATTCACCATACTAATAGACTAAAAAGAAATCATGCCAGATCTCAGTATATATAGAGAAAGCACTCAGCAATATTATCCCTAACAATTCATAATTAACAAGTTAACATCCTCAAACTATGAAACCATACGTATATGAAAAGTCCTTAGATGAAACATTTTACACACGAATGTATGGCACCTAAATATATAAAAGAATACTTTCTCTTGCTGATTCTATAAACATTTATTCTGCAACTGATTGCCAATCTAATAATATATAAGCAAAAATGTTAACTAGAAAAAGGCAATTTAATCAATCTGTGTTCAGTTGAGTGAGTGTCATTTTCTTTGTGGGTGAGTTTTTCATCTCTTCACAGTCCCTTTCATGTCCATGGAAGAAACCCAACTAGGCCCAGTGAATAAAAAAAACAGATTATGGAAGCAGAAAGAGAATAATTTAGAAAGAAGGTGGCATTCAGATTGAGGAGGATGACTAAGAGATGAAAAATGGGGTGAATATAAGCAATATTTTGCATACATTATGGTATAGTCAAATGATTACAGGAAAAGAGAAAACTATACTATAAAAACATAATCCTATATATCAAAACTGAATAAATACACAAAGACAAAAAAGAGAATGGACCAAACCAGGCATTATGTGAAGCAAAGTTACAAGGTACAGGATCTCTCTCTCTCTCTCTCTCTCTCTCTCTCTCTCTCTCTCTCTCTCTCACACACACACACACACACACACACACACACACACACACACACACGTCACACACACACACGAGTCACACACATACACCCACCATTGACAATGCCAACAAATAACAGAAATCAATTTAATGAAAACATTTAAGAGGAGTTACCAATTTCTCTGGTTTGGAAAGATGGAAGACAGAGACAGTGAACAAATTGTTTGTTTTGTTTGTTTTTCTTGTGTGTTTGGTAAAATTAGGATGATGATTTAAAGTATAATGTATGCTCTATAATAGAACAAATCTAGGTGATTCAGGATAGCTGACTTCCAAAATACTATGAAGATATTCATAACATGTAATGTTTAACTAGCCTCTAAGATCCCGAAAATGCCATGAGAGTTACAAATGAGGCAAAGAAGGTACTTGCTTCTAAGGTTAATATTGTCAAGCACAGATCTAAGATATTATTATATAAAAGAGAATACAACAAGCACATGGTAATTTAATATCTAAATGTTTTCTTTTCTTTTCTACATTTATTCAATAAGTTTTGCTGTGTATCTTATGCCTGCCTGGTACTACCTATGTAGCTCTGGATGGCCATGAATTTACAATAGTTCTGTTTGTTCTGCATTTACATGTATGTATTGACCTTTCTAAAAGAAAGTGAACAGTTTCAAAAGAACATGCAGGTGCAATTATTTAAAATAGTTGGAAATATAAACAGAAATGAATGAAATCTTTAATAAGGAAAGGACATTGATTTCATAAGTGGAAGGATACAATTGAAAAGATGTCCTACCTGCAGTCACAAGTAAATGCAAATGAAACCACAGTTTGGTGCTCTATGCCAGAGTGAAAAGTGTTTAAGAACCTTAAGTGATGGCAAGGATGTACATTTTACCATCATGCTTTGATGGTGGCAAGCAATATCATAGACATCCTTGGAATCCTGATAGTGTCATAAGATGAAATCCAAACTGACAAAGTGAAAACTGTCATTACCTTGAAGGTTGATATTTGCCACGATTTTACTTAATCTTCAATGAATATATATCCTAACAGGTCTACAATGCTATGGCAGTAGCTATATTACAAAAATAATGATATCAAGAATAATGAAGAGAACTTAGTATATACACTGGCAAGGTGAAAGCAAGTGTAAAAAGTAAAAGAAAACATAGAATCAATGAAATTTAGTGTGACAATTTTAAGAAGCCAGTGATAGAAAACACGAAAGTGCATCACAAGGTAAGATAAATCGAATTAGGAAACATTCAAAAGATCATCCAATACAAAGTGATCATCCCTAAACATATGTGCATACAGACAAAGAACACTGAATAGACTTAGAAGGTATGTGCAGGTGTGTGTAATGGTAACAATTAAAGAGGAGGTCATGAATTTGAGAGAAAGGAGGGGCATGGGAGAAGTTAGGAGAGTATAGAGAGGGATGGAAATGATGAATATGCAATACTAAAATATGAAATTCTTAAAAATGAAAAGTTAAATTAGTAAGAAGCAGCTATAGATTAAAGAAAAACACAATCATGCTTAAGAAAATACATAAGACAAAACTCAGATTCTTCAACTTTGAGGTAGCCAATCATGGGAGGCTATTCATACAAGTGAATCAGCAGTGGATTGTACAGGCAGATCTCCTCTTTAACAAGCGTGTTTTGAAAAGCCACCACTTTGAGTTCATAACAAACCTTGAAAGCCGTTGGATGGAAGTAAGATGGGAGGCGCCCACTACCTTTAACATATTCAACAGTAGCAATTGGAGCCAGTAACAAACACATTTTTATCTTTTCAGCCAGTTGTTGATTTGCCGAAAACGCCCCCAGAGCTGAAAGAAATAAAACAAAATTATTTTGCTGCCCTCCCCTTCTTCTTAAAATTGTCTGTGTTGTTAGGTTGTTTCACAGAGCATGTAGTGGCATCTTGGCTTCCCAGTGAAGTTGTGGGTGTGGCCACACCCTTTGTGCATGGTTTCATGTTCAGATGTGACCCCTTTTAAGGTAGAGGAGGCGCTGTCTCGTGATCTCTTGGGTTAGGGCAGAGACTGCATCTCTGGATCAGGAAGACCATGGCCATTCTTTACTCTTCTCTGTGTAAGCGCTTCCCTAATAAATACCTAATTATCGTCTATCTTGGGTCTGGTGAACTCACTTAAAGCATGTCTCAAGAGCTTATGTTTGCTTTTTGTCAGACATTTAAAATTGGAGATTTCCCTTAGTTTGCTTCCCAGAGTGCTATGACTTTAAAACATTTAAATTCCATTCAATTTATTATGAATGACTCTTTTGATTTATTGACTGCTGGCTGCTTTGAATGGCCAGACTTACCATACTTAAGAATCAGCTCAGCACTTTTAAAAATATAATCTTCCCTAACTCTTGGAGAAGACATCTCTACCCAAAGACCACATATTGATTTTATGATCTCTGTCATTACTACCTTCACAAATCATCTCTGCAGCATCTGCAGATCACTTGTGCAGGTAAACATATACAAATCTATCTACTTATCTATCCATAATCAATCTATCTGTCTATCAATAATCCCTCTATCACACTATAAATTGAGCAAATATATGCAGTAGTTATTAAATTTTCCCTAGCACTCAGACAGTTGGAAACATCTATCTATCTTTTGTTACATTTTTCTTTGAAAATATATACTATGTACAAACTCAAACAGTAACAGTAAAAGCTGTTGAGAAATGACCAAGAAAAGACAAGTTAAGAGCTCAGTGGAGCCAGACTACTGAAACCTTTCCTAAGCACCAATATTTCATATGTACAATGCCATATAAGGAAGGACACACACACATACACACACACTCACACACATAGTGAGTCAGTATCAAGAATTCTAACTATAAAAAAATCCTAGAAGTATCTCACACATACACTTCATTTAAATATTTTGTATGTTAGAAATTAATGGTTTTAACATTTGACATTTTAAAAGCAAGTTACAGTTGTTACCAGCTGTCTAAGAGCTTGTGTGTGTTTTATAAACAGTTACAAATTTTACATATATATTGTGTTCTTCAGGATAAAATTACATCACTGTCTAATTTTGTTCTTTGTTAGCATACCAATAAGGGTGCCTTGAGAATGTCCAACATAGTAAATCTGCTTTTGTCCTGTCTTCTTCAGGATGAAATTAATGGTGGCTGGAAGGTCATATTTTATCATTTCATCATAACTGCATGAAAACAAAATGGAAAAACTGTGATCTGACTATTAACCAATAAATAAATAATTTCTGTTTTAAATGATGTCTTTATAGAGGATATGAAGGGAGGCATTTGTGAGACATGGCTCACAATTACTCCTTGTTTGTTTACTTTTTTGCCACCTTATATAAGCCCCACTTTTCTGTGTTCCCAAATTTCCCATGATGTAGATCTATGACTGTACACTTTGAAATGAATTAAGCTAGCATTGCTATGTCCACAGTGAATAAACTGTTAGACTTATTTCAGAGCACCTTTGCACTAGAGCCAAATTTCTAAAATTTGGTTCTCCATTTGAGCATCATGTTATTTAAGATTGGGAATCAGGTTGTAAATCTCTCCCAATCCTCAAGAAAGAGAGAAGGAAGGGGATGAAAGAAGGGAGAGACAGAGAAGAGGGTTTGCCAGAGGTACAATGGTGATAGAACTTGTTTAAATATATTGGTGTGAATAAACTCCAGGAGATATTCTACTACTCTGTGACCCAAAGCACTCATATGTAATTTTACCCGTGTCTTTTCACCCTGTCTGTTACTCATTCCACTCACAAAATATCAACAGTATGGAGCTAAGGAGGTAGCTCATTATGGAAAGCAATTGAAGTCAGAGTTTGATCACCAGAATCAACCAAAAAAAAGTCAGGTATGCTGGTCTCTGCCTGAAATCCCAGACATGTAGAGGAAGAAATAAATATATCATAGGGGCTTAGCTGACCCAGTGAGTCTCTTCTAGTTAGTGATTTCCACACTGGACAGTATGTCTAAGGAATGACACCTTAATTTGTGCTCTGATCATTATACAAACACATGTACATGAATATACATATGTATTATAGACACAATCATGTATATACACATTCACAATTCAGGATACACAAAGTAAAAAGAAATGAATGAATGAATGAATACAGTAGCTGTATGAATACTTCCATATTTACCAAATCAATGTTTCAAATATATCAAATTAACTTCAATGAAACAGTTTTATAAGGACATGAATGAGGCCTGTGGGGTGACTAGGTGAGCAAAGGCACTATTTACCAAGCAGGTTACCCAGAGTTAGATCTCCAGAACCAACATAGTAGAAGAAGAGGGCCAACTCACTTAAGTTCTTTTCTGGCCTCCAAACATGCAGCAAATCATTTGTATACAACCCCCCCCACACACACAACACACGAGTTTGAGAGAGAAGTATAATTTTTAAGATAAGTGGATTGATTAGAAAAATTACAATTTCAAGAGTAGAGATATAGGTTATAATGAGAATTTTATTATAATTGTTAAGCATAGTAACCACAGTGCAAAGTCCTAAACTATTTCACTCAAATCAATCTAAAATATCACTCCAAGTGAAATGCTTTCAATCCAGCCCCACACCTTTATTTTACCATTAAAATATTTGACATTCTCTTAAGGCAAATGTAGTGTTATATGGAGTTTTTTTTCCTACCTAAAAGCCCAGAATTCTTTAGAGTTTGGGTCCAGGTACAAATGTTTTTTTGCCCAGGTACTTCCTCTGCTGTTCCCCATCCACACATCATAACCAGCATCTGCTAGAATGAAGGCCAGGCTGTTGTTGGGAGGATTGGAAACCCACACACCAGCAGTTGAAAACAAGCCATGCTGACAAAGTACTACTTTCTTTGGGGCTGCAAAAACAACAGTGAAAATGTTTTGTAACATTAGCGTCTATTAAACATGAAATTTCAAATAATAACAATGAAATTGAAAAGGTTTTTGAAATAAGGGAACAGAGATTGCTGAGACTTCATTCCACTTATTATGTCAGTCAATATTAATCAATATTCACTGTGCAAAAGAAGAGCCACTCCTACAGGATCTCAGTCTTCAAAGTGTCATTAGAATTCAGGTACCTTTAAGCCCCCAACTTTAATTATGGGAGAAAAGGAGCTCCAATTGCTCTTTTGAAATTACTCAATTTGAAGAAACTCATGTCATAGCCTCGGGATTCTTCAATACTTGTCTTACTCAGATCTTACTTGTGCTATTCGTGTTGTTTTTCCCATGAGGAATACGGTTAATTGGGAGGATGTAACCATCCTCAGTCACAGCCTCATATTCTTCACTTGTATAGCCCCAATGGATTATAATTTCACTCTAGGAGAGAAAACACAGTAATGAGTTTCATGAATCTTTTTGTTCTCAAAAATTTTTCCTGATTCTTAAAATAAAATTTCCTTTTGGAATCAAGTCATCAATCTTGGTAAATGTTCAGACTTAAAGAGATACAATGAGTCAAAAAGATGAATGGAGTTAACAGAGATAAAGCAAATACATGTAGTATTATTAGTGATAAGAATAGCTTACAACATTCATGTGGGCTTCAGGATTCATGGTTGTTGCAAAAAAACAAATTATATTTCCACATACATGGACAAGGCACATTGTACTCAGCAGCCACCGCATTTTAAACCTGCAGGGAAACAGTTAATGTCATGAAGTGGCTAAGAGAGGAGTATTAACTCAGATTATAACAAGAATATTAGGTACATATGTAACCTTTTATAACTGAAAAATTTCATATTATATAATGAGTCTTAGATGAACTCTATACCTTTCAAAGAACCCCCTTGAAGAAGTGGATGGGGCTGGGAAGGGGATGAGGCAGGGAGGGTTAAGGGGGGAGGGGGAATTGGGGTTGGTATGGAAATGAAAAATAAATGTTTTAAACCCAAAGAAAAGCTTTGATGAAATTAAAATTAACAATGTTATTTATGAAACTTAACTGGTTTTCCCTCAGCTGTTTGTTAAAGATGAAATAATTCTAACTCATTTGCTCTTGAAATATCACTGATGCCTCTTTTGAATTTATACTGAAAAACCAAGGTTAGTGTATGATTTATTTATTGATGACTTTAAAGAAGTTAATTAGTTCAAAGCACTTTAGATTTTTGATAGCAGAATGAGGACAGTAGTAAAGGTTAATATGAAGGATAGCACAGATGGACAAAAAGAATCAGAGTGAATGAGCTTTCATATGTAGAAGCTTAAGTACCAATGCATCTTGTCTGGCCACATCTACCCTGTCTTCCTTTCATAACTATGGAGAGCACGCATATTCCACCAATGTGCCCAGAATGTCTAAAATATGTGCTACTAAAAATGCAAACATGAGTAATAAGCATTGTCTCTCACTCCTTATAAGTATTATTTTAAAGTTATAGGATGTACATGCAATTTCAATAATCATTTATTTGTCAATTCAGGCTGCTAAAGAAGATATGTACCCCACATATAATGTCCCTGCTTCTGTTCCAAGCCCAGGATATGGTGATCTTTCTTTCTAATTTTTTATTCAGTTCCCTAAAATCAAGATACCAAATAAGCTGGAAATAAGAAAGCTACACATTAACACAATAATTTTAGCAATAAAATCAAGGCTGTAACTTTCAACATTCATGTTGCACCCAAGTTCTAAACAACTTCATCTCTTGGTTGTTTTAATACTGAACCTCAAGAAAACAATACACAAATTTTAGAGTATCATACCTACTTTTTTTATTCCTGTAGTCTGAATGAAAGTTTAATTCTCTTTTCATCCTGCTCACCATAAATATAACAGTGAATGTATTTTTTGGATGACCTTTCCTAGAAATGGACAGTGCCTACTTTAACTATGAACTTGGGTGTTCGTCAAATCAGAAGTCAAATATGCAAATTTGACTAAGTGCCAAAACTTCCACCTAGTTTCCTTATCTCTGGGTTCATCATTTTCCAACTCCCTTCACCATGTCCTCATCCTTTATGTAAATGCTGAAGTTTTCATTAGCTTTTAGGCTGGAGATTACCTCATTGTGCTTGTTTTCCTCAAAATTGTAATGTGTCCCTCATTCTTTACTGAATGAGTTTGAAAGCTGCTGTATGGAGATATATAATGTCATCATAAACATTGAGATTTATATTGAGAAAATAAATATCATTGTCCAGAAAAGTTAAGATATAAATTCCTTCCTTCTGAATTTTGTATCCATATATTCCTAGAAAAAAATCTGGCATGTTGATTGGAGGAAATGCATATGCCACTGTTTGAATGTGACCTGTGCCCCAAGGCCCATGTGTTTGGGATTAGTGACCAGAGTTACAGAGCTGACACAGTGGAACATTTAGGAAGTGGAATTTTGGTGAGGTTCTTAAGTAGTTGGCTGAATTCACTATGCAAGTACTGCTTTATTGTGTTAAAAATAGTCTATGGAGAAATATTTGAGGACAAAAATAGAGCTAATCTTGTTAGTACATAACACCACTCAAGAGGAAGAGACAATAGGATAGCCCATGGGTCCAATGTGGGTTGTGTTACACAGTGAGTTTCTGTCCAACTAAGGATGTATGCACTCATACATAGACTATAGAATACCTAGGGCCCAACCTTTACCTGGCCACCTGGTTCATAGAGCTTAGTGTTCAAATCCACCTTTCTTAAGAATATTTTCAAATTGTTCAAGTTTTTCAGTAGAATTTGGCATTGTCTAAATGATTGTGCCCATTTCTTACATACATAGTTTTCTATATCTTTATATTCTAAACAACTTTAAACTTTAGTTCTATGTACATATGCTTTATTGATAGTTAATGTTTACCAAGGAAAACAGCAGCATGAATGAAATACTGCATGATGGTAAGGCATGTCAAAACTCTTTTACATGTTTCAAAATTTTTGTTTACATAAGAAATCTTTATTTCAAGCCATCAAGTGTTTTCATTTTTCTCATGGGCTTTGACGTTTCTTTAGACCCTGTTCACAACTGAAAGATGAAGGGACCCTATGATCATATAGTCAGTCATTTGACTTCCAAATAGAGCCAAAAGGTTTCCTTCTACCTTTAAACACAGTGCATTGTTATTAAGCAATTGTACCACTTCAAATAAAGTATCAGTGCTGTGATAATGCAGCTCCCATGCTGCAGCTCCAGAAAACCTGTCTGCAAAGCTCTAGACCAAGCCTATAGCTGTCAGCAAACTGCTCAGAAAGAACAAAATGGGACATGATGAATGGACATGCTTATGAGATGGGTAATAACAGAGAGACTCATCCAAAATTTTCATGATTATGTCCAGGGTAATATAAGTATAGATCCTAAAATTGTATTTAATCTTCAATTAAGGTCTAGACAGAATAGAAAGAAATTTAAAATTTCAATAATGTAATGGAAATTTATTTCCAGAAAATACGAAGTTGGAAAGAATGCACACTGTATGTAAGGGCTAGATTGCCATATTTTTATTGATCCTGAACATTGGAAGACAGATTCACTGAAGTATGTATAGTCCCTTAGATGGTGCAGACTTACCAACAGATAACATACTCATAAAAGCTTATCAATATCTAGGGAGATTTTATTTATGTTCAAAAGAATGTTTGAGGAATGAAATATGCTGCCAGTGATGCTTCTTTGGGATTATGTACCAACAAAAGTGAAGCCAGGAGTCTTGGATAAGAGAGATAAGAATAGGGGAAAATATAGGGAATACAGTGTATTGAAATAATCTTCCCCCCTGTACCCTCAGCCAAGGTTAGACATCCAATCCAATGCTTTTGTTTAATTTAGTTAAACAAAATAAAGGCAATGTGTGATACAGGCTAATATTGCCACTCTCATACCAATTGATACATATAGGTTGATATATGTAAAACTTAAATTTATCCAACTGTAGACAAAGTTCAGTGTCTTCAAAGCCATATGCAGGGTCAGAATTCAGGTACAGGGAAAAATTGACATAAAAGAAATTTAAATTTCTTGTCAGGTTTTCATCTATGTTAATTTAATTTATATTAGATGCCATGATTTATAGAAATAAGGTTACAACTCTCAACATGTTTTGTTATTGTTACATACTATATTAATTTAAGTTATCTCTGGTAGTCTAGACATGACATTAATGTTTCTTCTAAGTATTTTTTGGGCTCAAACGTTAAGTCCACTTTGCTAAGGGTTACCTGTCTCCAGCAACATCCATGTTTTCACTTAATCCAAACTGTGACTTATTAGGTTGTGGGCATTTAAGAGGTGATTAGTGAATGGATTAATGAATTCATGAATTTGTGGGTTAATGATTATCTTTACTGTGGACTCCTCACAATGATCTCAATTGGATCTGTTCCTGGCAAACATTCTTCTTACTATGGGGTGTTTGTGCTGCCTCTGTTTAGAGTCCTTAGCCACTGGCAAAAACACAAATAAATAATAAAATAAAATAGAAATATCCAGCCTGTGAACTCCTGGCCTGTAACCATGGAAGGAAAAACTTCTTGCTTCATAATTCACTTTGTCTGTGGGATCCGATTAGTGAAAAACAGACTTAGGTAAAACTTTACCCTGAGTTACACAATTCCATTTGCTACTCTTTCTCCCTGCCCCATCCTCTTTCTTCATTTACTGTCTTTCCTCAAGTATCTCATAGTCATTTCTACATCAAAAAACACAGTAGTTCAGGGCTCTGATAAGTTCATCTCAGGAGAAAAGTGCCCTCTCCAAATACAATTCTTCTCAAAGCAAAACAATGACTATGCTGATTAACAGCGATCTAAAATATACCGAATCTTACAATTCAATGTATGGTAGAAGGAGATTCTGGGTCCCCGGTAATTCCCAATCTCCCAGATGAACATTTCCTCTGCTGATCACTCAAAGAGAAATGGAGGACCACTCTCAAAAGCTGAGCACTTAAATTAGAGGCATTTGCATAGCACAGGCTCCCTGCTGCAGAGAGCACCAAAGTCTTCCTTCTGGGTGCATTCTTGTTTCACTCATTAAAGGCTAGATTTTTTTTTTTACTTTATATCTTTTTGTAAATTTATTTTTATTTCTTTATTTTAGAGGAACTCATATTTACACATCCATCCCCCCATTCCCTCACCCTCCCATCCTCCCATGTTCCTCACCAAGACCCCCCAACCCACCCCTACCTTCTCCTCAGGGATAATGAGGCCCTCCACAGGGGACCATCAAAGTCTGTCATATCATTTGGGAGAGGGCCTAGGCCCTCCTTGTTGTATCTAGGCTACAATAGTATGCCTCCATAGGGAATGGGCTCCCACAATCCATTTGTGCTCTAGGGATAAAGACTGGCTCCACTGTTAGAAGTCCCATAGACTGTCTTGGCCTCCTAGCTGGCTCCCAGATTCAGAGATCTTGTTTCCTTCCAAAGCTGGTTCCCCCGATTTACCACTAGGGTCTCTGTGCTCTCACTAGGTCAGGTCAACTGTTTCTACAGGTTTCTCCAGCACCATCTTGACTCCTTTGTTCATCCTTCCTCCCTCTCCACAATGGGATTCCAGGAGTATGGTTCATGCTGATCTGTGGGTGCCTGTTTCTGTTTCAATCAGCTACTGAATAAAGACTCTAGGAATGGTAACCAAGGTAGTCATCAGTCTCATTATAGGGGAAGGGCATCAAAGGTAGCCCCTC